TCTTTTGGTACTGGGAATTGAATCCAGGGCTTCTCTACCACTGTGTTCTATATCCTTCAATTTTTAATTTTTTTTTTTTTTGAAATAGAGTCTTACTAAACTGCACAGGCTGGGCTGGGATTTGTAATCCTCCTGCTTCAGCCTCCTGGAGTGCTGGGATGACAGGCAACACCACCATACCTGGCTAAAAACACAGATTTTAAAATGAACTCCAGGTTTCTTAGTTTATAGTCCAAATAATCAATTTATGAACAGTGACTCATGATCACTAAGAGAATAGCTGAATATCCGTTACAGAAAGATCCATGGTAGGCATGCTGTGTAGACATAACGTTTGCTCGGCCAGAGGGAGAAATGAAATGACCCAGGACATTAAACACTGACACCAAACTATGTGCACACAAAACACAGAAATCGTAAAGAATAAAGAAACATGGACAGGCAGAAACAACTCAGACCCCATTTACAGTGAGGTCCCGGGTGTCGAGTGACCCACTGCCTGGTGGCGGCTGGAGTGTGCCCAGCCACGTGGGAACCTGTCCCCTGAGCAGGAAGTGGCCAGAAGTCTCCTGTCTTATGGGACACAGTAAATAAGACAGGAAGTTGTGACTGGGGACATAGCTCAGTGGCACAAGTGCCTGCCTGGCAAGTGCTAGGTTCTGAGTTTGATTCCTGGTAACCCTAACCCCCCACACAAAAAATGATAGTAAGAATGACACCAAGAATCAGAGCATTCTTAACAACATACTCATTTTTAATTGCACAAAATACAAACTTCAGCACATGAAACTCGACTTTCCGGACGTCCTCACACAGTGTGGTCCTGAGAGTCTGAGGTATGCCAGGTCTCTGTCCCTGCTCCATACCTGAATGCATACGTGAGTGGTACCCATGGCTGGGACCGGTGTCCTCCAGCCTCTGCTCACTGGGACCACCCCAGCTGCCACAGCCTGGCTGCCTGAATGTGGGGTGCAAGGGTCCCCGGCTGCTGTCTCTGAAGGGCCATGGGAAGGAGGTGGGGGGAGAGCCTTGGGATGCATGCTGCCAGCTTACAGGACAGCTCTGGAAGGGTCCCAGTCACCTGCAGGCTGGTGGCGGGGAGCTGGGATGTGGGGTGATCCCTGGGGTGACCCTCCTACCCTGAGCTGAGCCGAGGCCCAGTCAGGTACGTGAAGCCTGGCACAAAGCAGTGTCCCAACTCGCCCATTTTGGCTTAAGACTCGGAACCCTGCCAGTGGCCCCCTCTTTTGGCTCTGTTCCCTCGAGGGTCAGTGACCGCTGCCTGCCAGCCAGTACTACACAGAGACAGAAGGGTCTCCAGCCCAGGCCTCTGCTGGGGTGTGCAATACACATGCCCTCTCCCCACTGGCTGGAGGGCGGCTGGACATTTCCTGGTCTTCACAGGGGAAAAGGACAGACGGAGTTAGAGCTACTGCCTGAGGTATGCAGGCCAGGGCAACAAGGTGCTGGACAGGAGACCAGCTGGCCAGAGGGTCGAGCCTGTGGGCTAGCACTCCAGGTCACCCTGTGGAAGACGCTGCAGAGCAAGGGGACAGGACGCTGGGGAGCAGGATATTGCCAGGAGCCCGCTCCATCTCTGCTACAGGACTGTTCCTGAATGCACCTTGACTTTTTGTTTTGTTTTGTTTTGTGAGACAGGGTCTTGCTCTGTAGCCCAGGCTGGCCTTGAGCTCCCAGCAATTCTCCTGCCTCAGCCTCCTGACTGCTTGGGTTATAGGCATGCACCACACCTGGTTTTGCCTTGACTTTCAACCTCCACTTTGACCGGCACCAGCTCCGGGTCCATTTGCAGGTCCAAATGCAGACAGAACCTCAACCCTCGGGGCCACAGTAAAGCAGGTCTCTGACACGTCTCTCACATTTTGCTGGGTGACAGTGGCACATCATGAGACAGTGAGTGTGCGACTTGTGTGCTGGGCATTTCCTCCACTGCTAGGAGACCCTCTGCCACCACCCGACTCCCAAAAGGTATGCAGACCCCTTCACTCTGCGACCACTGGACAAAGCTTTCCCTGTTCCCGTGGGGCCTGGCCTTCTCCCCAGGACAAGATGACAAGCTCACTTTGCTGTAGGCTCACTGGGGTGGCGCAGACTTATCCCAGATGGCACGGAGAGGCTGCGACACCACCTGTCCTAAGGAATCCGACATCCATTTGATTATAATCCCGCCTGCTCAGAGGCCAAACCTGGATTCCGGAAGAAGCGAACAGAGCTGAAAAACAAGTGACGTAACTCCGAGGGGGCCGGAGCTGGAATCGGGCAGAGCCCTCCTGTGGTCATCCATCTGGAGCCTCGAGGTGACAGGAAAGCAGTTGGACACAGCTGCGTTCCAGCTACACAACTGCTTTCCCCTCGGATGGGAGGGGACGTGAGAGCTTTTGTATAAACATCAGCTGGTTCGTGTTCTCCTCCGTTTCTGTCCAGGAGTTTGGCAAACAGAGCCTGCCGAGTTCCGGACTCGCTCAGCCCCATGCTGGGCACGGCCGGGTCCTGAGGCTGCGGCCCAAGGGCGCTGCACCTGCACCACGAAGCCACCCACCTGCTCTGCATCTGAGTCCCTTTCCTGGGGCAGAGGAGCTGCTGTTCATTTCATATGGGCATGAGGGGACCAGGGCCCGCCGCGGACACAGCTGGGACACCATTTCAGAGAAAGTGAGCCCCGACCTGCCCGTTCCACACCCTGCTTGCATCTCCAGGCGGCGGGTTTCTGTCTTCACATGGTACCACACTACCTATTCCCGTGCCTCCTACAGCTGAGGGAGGGGTGAGGCTGGGCTCTGCCCTCAGCCCCCTGAACCACAGCACAGGACCTGGCTGCTGAGGTCTCAGGGGACACGGCAGCCTGCTACCCAATGGCTGAAGCCAGGGGTGGTGGCACACATTGTAACCCTACCCTAGGAAGGCCAAGGCACGAGGATCCTGCGAGTTCCAGGTCAGCTTGGGCTACACAGTGAGTTCAAAATTAGCCTGGAATATAACAAGATCCTGTCTCAAAAAAGAAAAGAAAAATGAAACAAAAATAAAAAAACCCTCTAGGCGACACCAGGGTAAGCACTCCCCAGCTTGCGAGCCGTGGCCTGCCTGCCATGGGAGCCCAGTGGCTCTGTGTTCACCGCCGCAGCAGGGAGGGGGCTGCTGCCCCGCATGCGTCTGCGCCCAGCTTTCTCGTCCTCCCGGCCTCCTTCCAAGCGGGCCATGCAGGAGGATCCTGGCTGTCTTCAGGCCAGGTGAGCTGCAGGGGAGCACAGTGCACCCTCCAGAAAGCCCTGGATAACCAGAAAGGGGCTTCTCACGCAGCGGCTGCAGCGGAAGCACTATGGTATTTCACGTGTGACGGGCAGGAGGGGACTGGGAAGAGAAGCTCATCACAGAAACAGAACCGCTGGGTCCCCAGAGCCTCTGCTCCACCCTTAAGGAAACTCCCTGTGTGAGGCCTCCATGTCTGGTCCACCCGCGTCCCGAGCCCTGCAGGCAGCAGGGTGGGGACACAGCAGGAGCTCCACACTGTGGAGCTGGCCTCCAAGCTTCATCTGTTGGGTTTAAAACCTCTGAAATTCCAACAGCTCAGCAGCTCTGGCTTTCACACAGACCCAGAGCACGGGTTCTCTTCTGTTCATCTGCACTGGGGACTCCCTCAGGTGCGGTTAAGCCATGGAGGAGGCTTTGCGTGTTCCCACCCCGAGCTCTGAGAACTATTTGTCGTTTGCAAAGCCTCAGACAAAGAGGCCATTCAAGTGCTCAATGGCCATGTATGCAGGGGCCAGGAGAAGGGGTCTGGACTCCCCAAGGAGGCAGACCTCCTAAAAGTCCCGTCACCTCCCTTCAACGCTGCCTGTCTCAGCCCATGCTTGGCCTGGGTGTGCCTCTATCCGGCCCCTGCAGCTGGGCACCAGAGGTCACGGTGTGCTCTGGCTTCATCTCTGAGGAGGTACGACCAGTGGCCAGGGCCACCAGGGCCATGGAAGGAAGGAACACAGGCGAAGGGAAGAATCCCTGTTTCCACCGTCTGATTCCCAGACACTATGCACACTTGGCAGGGGAGGACACTCAGGGCAGCAAATCACTGACCAGTAAGAGCTTTTCCTCCTTGCTCAAGTACACAAGTGCCTGCCTCCCCTCCTGGCACAAGGGGACGCAGGAGTGAACGGCTGGCCACAAGCCCAGCCGGACACAGTGGCTGGGTTCTTCCCAGGTCGCCTCACGGCATCAGCCTTGACACATTCACAAGGCATCTTGCACAAAGTCAGACCCTAAAGATCAAACCCAGGGAGGCGCCTCTCCCGGGCCAGCTCCTCCCATTCCTCCCTTCTGAAGGCCACGGCTGGCGGAGGGGCTGCCAAACCACCCAGATGGGGCGGCGACCACATGGGACACCAGGCAAGTGGTGGGGTGCATTACAGGCAGTACTGGGGGATTCCTGTCAGCACTGTAGTCACGCCCGCCCAGCATCCCTGCCCAGACACCAAGAGCCGCAGCTCGGCCTGAGGTGAACTTCTTAAACGCATCTCAGGGTTCTGATCTTTTCCGTAGACTTTAATTCTGTTCTTCAGAAACGATACACCACAGTGATCTGGTTTCTTTAATCAGCCACGGCTTTCCAAAAAGCCTAGGGTTGGGGCTGGGGATTTAGCTCTGCGGCATAAGCGCCTGCCTTGCAAGCAGGCAGTCTTGAGTTCGATCCCCGGTACCCATAAAAAGGAAAAAAGACAAAAAAAAAAAAAAAAAAAAAAACCTAGGTGATGTGGCCAGGAAGAGAGCAGACGGCACCTGCTGGAGGGTAGCTCTGGTACCAGGGTCAGTCAGTGGCTGGGGTCTGGAAGAGCCAAGTCTCTCCCAGGCAGGTGCCAAGTGGCCAGGGCAGAGCCCCTCCTGAGCCATCGGGGAATCAGGGAGGGAGCCCCTGGCTGCCTCCTCCAGTGTGCGGCTGGCTCACACACACGTGTGTAAAGGGCAGGCGACTAAGCAACTGAGCTGGGAAGTGGTTTCTTTGTTTTTATTTCCCCTCTTTTAACCTGGCTCTCCGGGCTAGAGTTGCTCTCGTAGGTAGTTCTGCCTTCTAGAGTTCCGAGCGTGTGGTTCCATCGCAGATGACCAAAGGTTGCACCCCTCTGGCTACGATGTAGGCTTTCCAGTGGGCGGTGCTGGCGTAGCCTGCGAGGGAACAGCGACAGGCAAGCCCGTCAGTGGCACAGGGCTGGACCGGGCCTCGCCGTGGGCACACACTGCAGAGGCCAGGGTGGCCCCGACCCCAGATCTGTGAGTGCCCCCTGCACAGTGGTCCCCTCCACTGCTGCTTCTTGCCAATCTGACACCAGCAGGCACTACATCAAACCTGAGTGCCTTCTCCGTGCCCTGCCTGGGCAGTGTAAACCAGGCTTTGGGGCTTTGCAGGGATGGCTGGCTCGGGACAAGGTTGGTGTGGGCCCTCAACTCTCAGCCTGGTCCCAGGGGCTTTAGCAGGGTGGGATGGATGGGTTCTGACGGGGAGCAGAAGTCTCCTTGGTTATATCAGCTATGGTGTCACTACGTTGCGTCCTGATAAACCAAAAGCAGCAGTTTTTAGGGTGGGTTCTTCGAACAGGAGTATCCTATGAGATATCCCAAAGAGAATGTTCTACGGGGAAGTCAGTTTGACAACCACCGGGCTCCTGGAGGCCTTCTGATGGGCACTGAGAGTCCCCAGACAGGCACTGACAGAACCCTGGGTGTCAAGGGCCACCATGCCTGCTGCTGGGACCATGGGCAGCTGACACCTCGCCTGGGGAACATGTGCCTCTGTCATTTGAGGGGTGGGGGTGACAGACCACCAGGAAGCCTCAGACTCAGCCTTCTTTGGCTGACCGCTGCCATCACTGTGCAATGTGGCACTGCCCATGGCAACCTCTTGTGAGCAACAGGGAAACCAATGCTCTCCAGAGGGTGCAGAGGCCATCGTGTCTGAGGCTGGTGATGCTGTTTGGACACTTAGGAATTAAGAGGGTGGGTCTCAGGCTGAGCTTCTCTGAACCACAGCACAATAACCCTAAGAAATGGAGGACCTCTGGACAGCTAAGTTTAGAGTGGTGCCCGCCTGTCGTGAGGTGGGGATGAGGTTTCCATGTGGCACTATGCTGTATGCTGACAGCAGATGCGGTCCCCAGCCTGGGGTGGCTGATCCACTGCCCCTCCCCTCCTCCTCCACAGCATGAGAACTTGTCACAGGGCATCGGAAGTCTCAGTGCCCAGACACTGGATTGTTCCTCTCCGAGCTCAGTGCCCGCTTTCCTGTCCTCATTTGTCAGTGGCGGCAGCAGCGGCAGCTGTGGCTTCTGTCCCTGCCACTGCTTTAGCTACCGCCGTGCTCTCCTGCTTCTCCTGCTCTTCTCCTTGGCTTGCTTCCCCTCTCTCTCCTTCGCCCCGTCCTGTGCTGACCTCTTCCAGACACTGCTGGACCCAGGGCTCCTTTCCGCCCGGCGCAGCGAGACAGGGCTCTGGGTTTGAGGATCAGAGCTCCTCTCCCTGTTGCTGGACACCTTTTTAAATTTGTGCATTGATTTTATTTTTCATTCCTAAACTGAAATCAGCTGCAAGACCTGGACCAAAACTTGGCAGAGTCTGCAGTCTGCTCCCTACCCCCAGAGGTGAGCGGTTTCTAGGAATTCGGGGACTCCTGAATGGCTGAAGAGCAGAGAAATCAGCCGCAAAGCTGGCCTGAGCTCTGCCAGGGGCCCTAGGACCTCAGCCAGCGAGGCAGGGAGCATGTGGAGGGTTCAGGGTGTCACCCACCCACATATCCATTGTCACCGAGGGGGCTGTGGGCAGGGTGATTTTTAGGGTATAAGGTGCAGGATGCAGATCAACAGGAAAATGGGGAGAGAAACCTGTCATTGGCACAAGGCTGCGCCGGGACTTCGGGACCCACATGGAGGTGCCGTTTCCTCCACTGCCCTCAACACTGCACAGCTCCGACGGATCTGCATCGCAGGCCTAAAAAGGTTCCTCTGCTTTCTCTCGAGGTGTCCCACCCCGCTCAGGCTGGCAGCAGACCTGACACCCTGCCCGACTGACGTCCTCTCTGGGCCTCGACCTCCCCACCTATGAAACTACGGAGTCCCGCAGTGCTTTCCAGAATCCCTTCTGACCTGACACGCATTCACAGTGGGGGTGGGAGGGAGGCCTTTCTCTCTGTGACATCGGTTGTTTTATTTCTAAGCACAGATACATCAACCCTGTCAATAAAAGAGTGCTATTTTCTGAAGGTGTATTTGCTACTTTAAATATTTTCTGAATTAAAAACTGGGCTTGGTGCGGTGGCATCTGCCTGTGATCCCAGCACTCAGGAGGCTGAGACAGGAGGACTGTGCGAGTTCAAGGCCAGCCTGGGCCACATAGTGAGACCCTGCCTCAACCCAACCCGACCTCCACGGAGTCCCTGCCCTCTTGGGGACACTACCTACCGATGTCCCCCGCCTCCACTGGCATGACCACGGACTGACAGTGTCTCCGGCAATGGAAGGGAGGGATGAGCTGCAATATGGCCTCACCGCTGCCAACCGCAAACAGGTCGTGCACCTTGTGCATCTGGAGGGAAGAACACGGAGAGGGAAAAGCAGGAAAAGTAGAGAGAAATAAAACCTGGGTGGCGAGCACCCTGCTCTGGGCTTTCCAGCAGCCGAGATGAAGGGGAGAGCAGGCCACTCCTCCTAAGGGTGGCATCTCCTGGTGAGGCACCCTGGGAAAATCTCTCCTGTGGGTGCTCCTGAGAGGGCCAGTGGGCACTGGGCAGCAGCCCCCACTACAGTCCGGGGGCAGCTGCGGCCCAGGCTTCAGGATCCCCAGCTGTGCGGAGGCCTGGCTTCACAGGCAGACAGAGGCCAGCATTTTACTGGAATCTTTGTCTCTGGAAGCTGGGCTTGAACACATGGTAACTGATCTGCCACTAAGCTATTCTCCCTGCAGATTCACGAAAGCAGGCCCAGCAGATGCCAACAGCGGGGCAGTCTGGTGTGATCTGTGCTCCTCCCTGGAAGACCACCCCATGAACCAGCCTGCTGACAAAAACCCCCAGCAGCAAGTGCACGTCTGTGCTCCCTGCCCCAGCAGCCTGGCCGTGTGACTCATTCAAACGAAGAATGGCAGCCTGGCCTGGGAACCCAGCAGCAGTGACAGCGTCGGGGCAGCCTGCTCTGGGCCCGGCGGGGGTCTCCAGGGTGGAGAAAGGGACCACGGGAGAAGGGGTCTCAGCCAGGCTTCTCCCCCAGCTCCTGCCCACTAAAGCAGGGCTCACAGTCGGAAGCCCTGGCCAGGTCTTGCTTTCTTCACCACTCTAGGCCTCTAGGGCCTTGGGTATTGGCCCATTCAGCCCTGTGGCCAACCCTGGCCACAGTTCTGTTTCCAATGCAACAGCAGAGCCACTTCGCTGGCTGCTGTGGTGACGGGGAGCTTTGTAGCTGGCCTGCAGGAGATGGGAGCTAATATAGGCCGATGCCATGGTATCCGATCCTGAACAGATCCCAGAAGTCCCCCAAACAAGCGTGTATCCCTCTCTTCCAACAGGCCCCTAGCAGGGGACAGGCAGCTCCTCCACACCTGGGGTGAAGAGACAGCCCTGGCCCGGGGAGCGGGTGGAGCGGGGCTCGAGCCCACGCTGGTTGGCCCAGAGCCTCTTAGTGACCCCCCCACCTATTGTCCATCCTACAGCTGCTTTGGGACCCAGCACCCAAAGACATGGACTGTCCCCCGCCACAGGCGGTCACATGGGCACCAGGGCCGGGTGAGGTGGCTGGGAGAAAGGAGAGCTCGGGCCAGGGCAGGGAAGTGGAGCTCCGGGAAACCAGACTCGCAGGACTTCGGCTGCACGGGCTGCTCCCCTTCCAGCACACCCCGGGAGCCACATGCAGTGCGATGGCTTCAGGAAGCTCGGCCCTTGGCTGGGCGCCTGGGCACCGAGCAGACGGGGAAGCTGATTTCGGTATTTGGGTGTGAGAGTGGAGATGAGGAGAGAGGCCGGCGCCCAGCGCCCTATCGCAGGCAGGAAGATGAACTCATCCAAGGCTGTGCTCCAGCTGGGACTGGGACACACCGCTGCCCAGCGGCAGCCAGAGCCTGGCGCCTCTGCTGCTGGCCTGGCAGGCTGAGCTCTGACTTCCAGACAAAGACGATTGTTTTTAAGGCTTTGAAATTCCTTCAACACAGTTCAGTAGACATGGAGCCAAGTAAGAGCATCAGAAACCAGAGTTTGCACAGTCATTGTTGGGGAAATTAAAAAAAAATAACTGTGGCCTTGGCATGGGACCTGGAGCCCTGCAAAGGCTGAGCCCGCCCCCCCCTCTAAAAAAGGAAAACTCCGCCTTCTGGGAATGAAAGCCCCAGGGTAGAAGCTCAAAGACAAGACAGACGGGGCGGACAACCACCCCCGACCCGATGCCTGCGCACCCTGCTTCTCCACCTACACCTGGCGTCTCCTGTTTGTGCCACTTTGGGGAAGCCACGCTGGGAACGGGTGGGGCCGAGGGCAGCCACGGTGTTGCACAGACCTGCTCGGGGACAGGGCCGAGTCACTTGGGCTCTCTGGGCTCAGTTCCCTTCACCACTCCTTCACTGCTCGTCTGCAGCTTGCTAGCTTGCTCGTTTTCTTTCTTTCTGTGTTTCTTTTTCTTTTCTTTCTTTCCTTCCTTCTTTCTTTCCAGCTGTATTAGCTTTGGGAAAGTAAACACTGTCGCCCTCAACACCAAGGTGAATTTTACTTCTTTTATATTTTGTGAGAAAGTGAATCCTTAGTATTTGCTTTGTAAAAAACAAAACTTTGATTTTGAGCCAGGGTCTCACTATGTAGTTGAGGCTGGCCTTGAACTCACTATGTAGCCCATGCTGGCCTTGAAATCATGGCAACCCTTCTGCCTCAGCTTCCTGAGTGCTGGGATTACAGGTGTGAGCCAGCACACCCAGCTTTGCTTAGCAAAACTATTATCAAATAATAAACACAAGGTTTCTGCAAGGATAAACATTTTTGCTGTTTTAAAGGAAAAGTTAATACCATATTGGTTTAGTTCTTTTATATGTATTTTTGGGATGGGGGGTCGACCCCAGGGCCTTATACAGGCTAAGCATGCACTCTCCCACTCAGCTACACCGCCTTTCGTATGAAGTTTTTGTCTTATTTTTTAAAAGAGGTTGTACTTATTTATCATTTTGAGACAGGGTTTCACTATGTGGCCCAGGCTGGTCTTGAATACATGGCAATCCTCCTGCCTCAGCCTCCTGGGTGCTGAGATTACAGGCATGCACCACCACTTCCAGCTAAAGATACAATTTTTAAGCCACACTTTCATGCTTTTACTTTGTTTGTGTTTCTCTTGGATTTTGGTTTGCAGAAGGCCATCAAGTTGTATTTGTTTTATGTTTTGGCCATCAAGTTTTAGAAACTATCAGGTTTGCCATACAGCTGTACAGATTACCCCATGTATGACCAAGTTTGTTCGTTGTTTTCTTTTTGGCCAAAATGGACAGCCCTGCAGAATCGTTTCTGCGATGTTTCCTAGGAGAAGAGTGACTTGTTCCTAACTTTTGCACACAGCTCCCCTGCTTCCTGACTGGAGGTGGGGAAATCACACGCACTGCACACTCAAGTCCTGACAGACGTGATGACCCTACCCCTTGGCTGCAGAGAGGCAGCCTGGCCCAAGGTGACAGGGGGACACAGGCTGGCGAGCTCGGCAGGCTTTCTGGGGCCCCGGCTTCCCTGCAGGGCCCCGGCTAGCAGCAGAAGGGGAGAACATGAAGGATGCGGTGTCCCCTCAGTGCACCCTCGATACCGAAGCAGGGCTGGGCTGGATTACGTCAGTCCCGTCCCCAGGGAGGAGAGCTCCAGACCCAAGTCCTCTGGCAATGCCCTACCTGACTGTCCAGGACAGGTGCTGGGTGAAGAAGAAAGCACTTTTTTAAGGAGGCATCTTTTGGAAATGAAAGGTGGGTAAAAACTGGGAAAAGTTCACGTAAAATCTGCGATCTGTTCAGAGGTCTCCTCCTGTAAAAGTGTCAAACAGACAGTGTCACTGGAACGGGGCAGCCTCTCCTCCGCAGGCAGGCAGCGGGCAAGGGGGCTCCACCCAGCACGGAGGCTGAGGGTGAAATGCAGCAGCACCAAGATGCTGTGAGCTCTGGCACATGGGGTGCTTTGCACCCCTTAGCTCAGGAGCGGCACACCTAGTCGAGGCCACCCTGAGCTCCAGGGGGTGCACGCTGAGAACTGGGCCAGGCCTCTAGGGGCTCCGGGGGGTCCTCTCCTCCTACTGCCCCGTCTCATTGTCCTCCCTTGGCACCCAGCCTGGCATGGTCCCTGGGGTGGACACGGGCTGTCGCATGGTGGCTCTCGGTGCCGGAGCCCTGGCCTAAGCCCCGCCTTCACCTGCCACACTCACCATGGGTAGGGGAACGGGAACCAGCGCTCAGGAAAGCAGCGCTGCCAGTGGGTGAACACCCCCTCGCTGAAGCCATCGGCCGCCTCCGGGTACTGGCACAGGAAGTGCTGGATCTCTTCAGGCCGTAGGGGCTGTCCAGTCTTGGTGTGAAAGCAAAACAGAAGCACTGACTTCCCATCACCAATTCCAGGACGCGCAGGCGGGTGGCCCAGTGGGCGCGGAGGGCACCCCCTTACCTTGATCACCAGCTGCCGCAGGTGGTCGAACATCTTCGGGGCGTCCTCCGGGAGCATCACTTCAAGGGGCAGCATGTGGGCGCAGACGATGCAGCTGGCAGGGACTGGCTCCGACTCGTTGTGCTCACAGTCATGGGGCCACCAGGGGTCGGGGCCTGCGAGTGGCGACACAGAGAAAGTAGGTGGGTGCAGGAGGGTGGGGCACAGTGGGCGGGGTGCAGAGGAGAGACTCCTCTCTGGACGTTCTCCTGCACGCTCCTAAATTCAATCAATAAACCTAGCACAGCAGCTGGAAAGCATGCGGCAACGCAGTTCTTCCGACCTCCTTGCCCTCCTCGCCCTGTGTGCCGCCTGCTGAGATGCCTGGGCACGCGGGCCGGGACGAGGGCCCCTGAGCCTGCGCCACTGGGTTCCTGCTGTGGGGGTCCTGGAGCTCCCGGCTCTGGCTGTGTACCTGCCCCTGCTTCCCGTGGTGACCCAGGAAGGAAGAACGTGGACAGGGCCCCGGTGAGGAAAGGGCCATGCAGGAGAGCTGGGACTTTCCAGGGCCCATGGCTGGTTCTGGCAACACCCACTGACCACCGCTTCTGACCTGGGGACCCCCCTCTCTCCCCCAAGCTGGTGAGAGACAGACGACTGTGCCGGACTCTCTACGCTGGTAGGTCCCCCTCTGAGCTGGACTGGGCTGCACAGCCTGCCTCAGTTTCCCCCTGCGCCTGCCCCCGACAGTGTCCAGTGTAGAGTGCCTCTGCACTCCTTCCTGTTTCCTTTCTCTTCTGTTTTGGGTTTCATTTGAGTTCTCAAGAGCTGTGTTTATTTTAAACTCTAATTTGGTTCCAGAATGTGTCACAAGCTGGGCTGTAATCAGGAGCAGGCCAGGAACAAAGGCAGGAGACAAGCAAACGGGGCCGAGATGAAGTCACAGTGTCAGGCGGCTAAACCCTTCTGCGGTCAGCGGTGAACACTGGGTCTCAGCAGTCTGCTGTCTAAGCCGCTGTCAGGAGCAGGCCCCTCCCTTGCTGGCCAGCTGGGACTAGGTGGACATAACCAGAGGACCATGGTGGCACCGCTCTGCTGCAGGGGCTCCAGGGCCCCCGTCTTGGAGGCACACTGGAGCTGCCAGACTGTGTCTTTCCTTCTGGAGTATTCTTCAGGGGTCACACTGCCTGCATTTCTGCCTGATAAGTGCAGCACGCTGGGGAGATCCTAGTGCTGTGTCACCCTCACACAGCCTTGAAGCTTCCCTGGAGCAAGCTCACAGGAAGGGGATGGGAGGGCACTGACGTGCCAGCCCTGTGCCAGTCACTTCCACACACCACACTGGCACCACACTGGCACATTGGCACCCACAGTGTGGTGGCCAGAGGCCAGGGGCATCCACCTGGTGTGGATAATTTAAGCTGTTGTTTGTTTATTGGGGACAGGTGTAAGGTGATAGGGACAGTGCTGCGGAGGAGGTGACTCCAGAGAGGAAAAGGAGGTGTCATCAGTGGCCGTGGACAGGGTTTCCTGATGGGCCAGGGTGGTGACCCAGGGGTTCCAAGAGAGGCAGGAAGAGGAAGACACAGTTATGTGTGGGAGAGGAATGGCACTGGGGGCCTGAGCTTGGACAGCCAGAGGGACAGGCCTGTCCCGGCTGCCCACAAGGCCTGGGCACCTCTTGGGCCCACCGCCCTGGCCCCTCAGGCAGTGGGAGGAGGAGATTTGCAGATTTATGGGGACACTCGTTAGACTATGACAGAATCAGTTCATCATGACCGTCTTCTCCAGAGACGAGAATAAAGTACAAGAGGACCCTTCCTGGAACCTGAACAAACATGCTTCAGGGCCAGCACAAGGCAGTTCTGGATGCTTGAGCTGTAACTTCCTTAAATTTATTTTTTTGTACCAGGGATCAAACTCATGACTGCACACTTACCAGGCATGATTTACATTTTTGTTTGTTTATTGGGAACAGAGTTTCACTATGAAGTTCAGACTGAAACTCACAGTGATCCTCCTGCCTCTGCCTCCCAGATGCCGGGTCACAGACATGCGCCGCCACACCTAGGTTTAATTCTAATTTTATTATGGACTTTAGGTGCTCTTGGTACTTTCAGGTAAAGAGGCCCTGAACACTCGGCACAGGAACAAGATCCACTGAAGTGAACCAAGAAAGAACAGGAAAGCAATACAGCACAGTACTCTGGAAACCAGGAGGGGAGCCGAGGGCTGTGCTCCCCGAGTCTTGAGAAACTCTGCTACCAAAAAGAAAATTCACCATGAAACAAGCAGCAGAAGCCAGCTCTCTGCGAGCCGTCAGCAGGGAAGCCGAAATGCCAAGCAATGTGAGGACACCAAGCAGTAACTTTAACAAGAACGGTAAATGTGACAGCTGGAGGAAGGACATAGCTAAGACCTAAATGAGCACACAGACCGACCGAGCGCAGCGGCTGTGGGCGGAGGCTGACGCACAAGGGCGTCAAGTCTCCCTCAAACCCTGTGCACAAATCAGTACACCGGGCATGAGACCACAACCGGTTCTCTTACTGAAGCAGGGTGGGGTGGCCCTGCCCACCCAGACCCTAAATCCACCTAGAAGAGGGCAGCAGGAGGCCATGGCCTCTGTTCCAGGCAACCTGGGCACTGTGGGTCTGGCCCAGCTCCTGCTGCAATGAGGGGGCAGGACTGGAGGGAAAGAGCGTCACTTTGCAGCCAAGGCTGGCCTCCTCAAACTCACAGAGATCCTCCTGCCTCTGCCGCCCGAGGGCTGGGATTACAGGTGTGTGCCACCACACCCGGCCCAGAATGTGAATTCTGCTCTCCCTGTGTAGTTAGTATGTTTTTATAAAACGGCTCTACTGCTGTGCACAGTGGTGCACTGGCAGGTGCAGGAGGCTGAGGCAGGAGGATTTTGAGTTTGAGACCATTCTGAGTTATATAGTGAGTCTAAGATTGGCCTGGTCAATATAGCGAGACCATACCTCAAGAAAAAAAGGGAGAGGGTTTTATTGAGACAAAACTCATACCACAAAGTCCATCCCTTTAAAATGTATAATTCAGGATACAAAAATCAGTGTTTCTCTACACTAGTAACGAACCCCCTGAGAAAGAAATTATCATTCACAATAACTTGTAGAAAAATAAATACTTAGGAATTAACCAAAGCAAAGAAGTGAAAAACCTCTCTAACGAAAAGTATAGCACTCTGAAAAAGGAGATCAAAGAAAACACCTGACAGTGTCCCGGGGCGGGCAGAGGCAGTGTTGCCAAATGGTCCGGGCACCAAGGTGACACACAGATGGACGGACCCCAGTCAGAGCACCAACCGCACTCCCCACAGAGCTAAGAAAACAATCCGAAACTTCATTCCACCCAAACAGCTTTACAACAAAACCACATGGAGCCAGAAGGGGCCCAGCACAGCAAGGAAGGCCACCCTGGGAAAGCAGGGGCAAAGCAGGGGCGTCACCGCTGCAGGCTTGAAACAGCAAGGTCCTGGCCAGGAACAGACACGCGGACCAGAGGAACCAAGCAGAGGATGCGAGAGCCACCCCTGGCACTCGGCCTTTTGATTATTAACAAAGGCCCCAAAACACAAGCTGGAAAGAAGAAGGTCTCTCTGACGGATGGGAAACCGGGCTGTCCACACGCAGAGACTGGCTCTAAACCTGTATGTCTCACCGTATACTCAACTAAAATCAAAATGCATTAAAACAGAAACATTTCGGGGCTGGGGATTTAGCTCAGCGGCATAAGCGCCTGCCTTGCAAGTGTGTGGTCATGAGTTCAATCCCCGGTACTGATAAAAAGGAAAAAGCAAACAAAAAGACCAGAAACATTTAACCTGTGAGATCAAATAGGTAAACCTGTTCAAGACGTGGGCATAGCTCAAAACGTTCAGGGCAGAACCTCAACTGCACAGGAAACATCAAGAATCAACAAACTCACTATGTAATGCAGGCTGGCCTCACATTTGCAGCAATCCTCCTGCTTCAGCCTCCCAAGGGCGAGGATTATAGTGTGCACCACCATGCCCGGTCTCAGTGTTGTTTCAGTTTGCACTTTTTCTTTCTTTTCTTTCTTTCTTTTCGGTACTGGGGATTGAACTCAGGACCTGGCACTTGCTAAGCAGGTGCTTATGCTGCTGAGCTAAATCTCCGGCCTCCCCAAAATTTTAAAATAAAAAGAAATAAAAAACAAAAATGAGAAGTGTTTTAGTTTGTTGATCCCTGATGTTTCCTGTGCAGCTGGGGCAGCAAGAAGCCGGACAGGGCCAGGGCCGCGGCGATGCCTGGAATCCGCCCATCAGCCTTTGCTGCTCCGCTGCCATACTTCTTGTTTAAACAAAGAAGGGAAGGCCTTCTTTATACTAAAAAAGTGCAGTTCATCAAATGCTAACCTACTCATCCAGACAAAAAACAGACCCGCGCACGGTCAGTGGGTCCTGGTCCACCCCGCTGGGTGCGGCCAGCCTGATAGGGAAGTAATGTCATACCTGCTGCGGTCACCGTGCATTCAAACGTTCCTTCCCAGCCCCAAGCAACCAAGCACCTGCTTTTGTTGTCTATGGATCTGCCTATTCTGGCGTTTCATAAGAATGGAATCACACCGTGTGTGGCCTTTTACGTCTGGCTTCTTTCACTCTGCGTAAGACCGAGAAGGCGCAGGCAGCCTCCTGGCAGGGCTCTTCACTCTTTTCACTGCCGAGTAGTACTCCACGGGGTGGATAACCAAATGCTGCTTCCTCACTTGAGCTCCTGAACGTTTGGCTGTGTACGCTTTGGGGCTCTCATGACTAATGTGTCCGTGAACATCTGTAGACCAGTTCTGCAGATGCATGTTTTCAGGCCTCTTAAGCATAATTTTTGAGGAAGTGCGAAATTGTTTTCTAAAACAGGCACAGTGTTCCACATTCCTATCAGTGTGGGTGAGAGCTCCAATTTCTCTTGTTATTGTCTGGGTTTTTTCTTTTTTTTACTATGGTCACTTTTGTCTCTCTGTGGGTTTAAAAACATTTCTGTTTGGTTTTTGTGGAACTGGGGCTCGAATCCTGTGGCAAGTCTTCCACTGAGCGACATTCCCAGACTTTAAAAAAAAAAAACTTTCATTCTGAGAGTCTGGCCAAAATGCCCAGACTGGCCTTGAACCTGTGACCCTCCCACCTCGGTCTCTG